TATGTTGTAATTAGTATATCCTTCCCCACTATTAACCAGGACTTATTAAATAATTGGTATAATAATATAAAAAATGAATGTTTAAAAAATATTGTACGTAAGCGTAACTATAAAATATTGTGTGTCAGTACGCGTACGTGCAAGGAGCGGGAAAGTGTATTGAAGCTGTCAGGGCAAAGTTCGCGGTAATGCGCTCAATGACATCCGCGGCTTAGGTTCATCCCTTAGCAAAACACTTTATTTATTATTCCAGCGCCAGGCTCTCCACAGCCGTCCTCTGATGGATTACACTAAAGTCTCAGTAAATTCACGTCGGCGTCGGTCCACATTCAAATATCCAGCTCTATTCGTATTCGTATTCGTATTCGTATGCCAGTTACTTGATACATCAGCTCTACTTTCGGAACGCTCCGCCCTGCCTCGGGAGGCTTCGGCAGCGTCTGGGGCGCGTTGCTATGGAAACGGGCGGGCACGCGGCGCTCTCGGCACAGCGGCCGCAGCCGAAAATAAACACGAGAGCGACGCCTCGCGGACTTGTTGTGGAGCAAGGGGACACGCCACTAGGGCGCTACGGGGGTGTGCGTCCGCTGACGTATGTAATTATCGTTTCAGGTTTCACCGGAGACGTATTGGATTATTCCGATGAGCTTTATATATATATAGCTCTCTATTGTTATGTAGGTTTTATTTTTACTTTTAGAAAGAATATAAGAAACTGATTTTGAACCGATTATTAGATAAGTTAAAAGCTCTTAAAGCAAAGCTTTTTGCGGAAAAAGGTATTTAAGTACGGACGGAGAATTGTTTGCTTTACATCGGCAGAATCAGTTAGGAACGAGTTCTAACGCGGGATTTTCCAAGAAGCGTACAAAGTTGCCGGGGAAGGCTCGCCCGCTCCCGCACGGCAGCGCTCTCGGCCTGGGGCGGGGGTGTGCGAGGCTCGGGCGGCGTGGCTCGGTCGGTGCGCGCGCACGGTTCCCGCGTCAGTCGCTGGGCGGCGCGCGGCCGGCTCGCGGTCGATAGCTGCACGCTGGCACGGGCACGGCCATGTTGCGCGACGCGTGCACGCGCGAGCGGCCTCGACGCGCTGCCGTGTGAGTGAAGTGTTGTGGTGTGGACACCGGCCCCTTCTCCCCGCGCCGCCACGCGCGGCGCTGCCGCCTCGAGCTTTCGGTCAGTATCAGAGACCAGTGATAGTGAGCTTCTTCTCCAACCTGCTGTCCGCCGCCGGCCCGGCAGGCTTCAGCATCACCTGCGGCAGGTGCGCCAGGCATGCGCTGCTGACACTTCATTGACAACAGATCGTCTGTGCGATGCGATTCGATTCGTGAATATTTACGGGTGAATGCGCGTGACGTTTAGGTTCGGTGTACACACGTCCTCAATTTGAGCTGGGTTCTGTTGCCACATAGCTCGAGCATACATAATATAGTCACAGATAGAAATGTTAGGTTAGGACGATGGATAGTGATTACGCGCGAAGGAATCCAATATCGTGAAGTGGTACAATATAAAGGTGTAGGGCAAGGTGTGTGCTACCGAATATAAAGCAAACAGTTTCTAATTAATTTTGAGGTATCATCTTGAACTAAAGGCGATATTGGTAAAGTTTGGCGGCAGCTACAAGAGTCAGTGAGCGTACTGAGGCAAATATCTACATTTACATTAATATATATTATGGTTTTCAACGTGTACAGTAGGAATGTTGCTTCGTAGCATTATGTAGCAGTTCGTAGCAAGTCGTAGCGCGTCGTAGCACTGTAGACGACTATATAACTAGTCTGTAATGAAAGCTCACGTTAACAGAAACGGTATTTGTAGGATTATTCAAGAACAAAGTGAAATGCGTTCCTAGAGTCACGTGTCCTGAGGTACGAAGTTTATTCTGAGCTACTAGAGCTTAGTATGTAATCGGGTAAGAACACGTGTCTTATCTGAAATATTGCAAACATTAGGGTAAGCTAAAGAAGCCTACGTAAGATATGTCTTCAATCTTATTGCCATGAGACCGATACAGTTTCATTGACTTGTCCATAATCATGTTTATAGGTACTAAACTTAGGATAGTTGAGAAGGTAAAAGACAGCACAGGACTATACAGATCTGGTTACGTTTTAAAATGTTTCAGGTAAATCTTAATAAGACAAGTAGCGAATTAAATGAATATGATCTGGTTCACGGATGAAGAGAACAAAATTATGAATTCATTATTCATTTTAGTCATGGCGATCTATGGGCTTTCGATAAAAGGAGGGGGAAGGTTTTGTTCAATATTTGATATATTATTTTATCCTCTGACATGTTAATGGTGACGAATGGTGGATGTCTGAGTATGTAGGTACATATGTCTACGAAAATAAAAGATGGCATATATTCTACTGTGTGTTGGTCTAACGGCCTTTTTGACAGAGGTTTTACTATGATACTTCCACATTAATTTTACAATTATCTATTTATCATCTTTTATTTTTAAATTTAAATTACAATTATCTACAATTGAGGAACCGATTACTACAAGACTCATTACTCTAGTGGTTTTAAAAACAAATCTATTTCGATTATGAAACACTCACAGTCTGGAACATAAATTTGATATTCACAGTCAAGAATATAGCCCAAAGCTTGTTTGTTTATAAGTGATTACTTAAGTAAAGTTAGGTAAAACATGATATATAAATATTTTATTAAATGAGAATACACATATAATTTGGTTGAATATATGCATTACTGTTCCATACCTCTGTTAATTCCTTCGGAGAATATTAATTTAAGTACATAACAGTATTAACTCAATATATATCCAAAAAGTGAAATATGCAGTATATATTACGGAGATACGGAGAATTCGGTTTTACGAGCAAAATACTTTTAACATATCAGAAACAGTTTCAACAGAATATATCATTTATTTATTATTTATTTATTTATAAGCACATGTATAATTTTTATAAGCACATGTATAATCATGTATAAGGTATTTTGTTTAAAATGTGAAGTTGCTTTACGTATCGACGAGAACTTTGTATGTGCTTATATAAGCTGGTATTGATGTATATAGTAGTATATAGTCTGCTTGCATTATCACCTTACTGTTTCTATATTGGAGGTTGGCTTACATGTTTTCTTGGTGCGCTCTATTTTGTATTTTACTAATGGTAGTATGAATTCTAAAGGCTCTATTTATCATATATCGTTTACACGGTTAAACTAAACTTCTGTTCAACAAAATTGGTACTTACTTACATACATACTGGGCCCAGCTTACATATCCAGCTTGGAACCTAACGTCCAACAGTCACA